CAATACTATTGAATCCATGAATCATGATTTTAAAAGATGTAATACGAGCCAATCATATTGAATCATGTTTTTAAAAGACAAGTAACCATTATGATCACTTTGTTGATCACTACCCTTATACTGACAGAAAAATGTATACGATATGTTTCTCTACATATCAAAATATAAAAACCTTGGGGCAAACCTATAATAGAAATATCTCATGAGTACAACTGAGAAATAAAAAATGGTCATTGGTGTAACTACAGAAAATTAAAACTTTTGAAAAGCACAACTGGTTTGATGGTTTTGACAACCAAAAACTAGATACAACTGCGTGTAAAAAAGTAAAACAAAATGCTAAACATATTTAACACGTTTTTAAGGGGAAATTTTTTTAAAATTTGCCGATTTTTTTTTGATTTTACCGCTTCAAATATTTAACAAAATTAAAAAAACCAACAATATCTCTATTTCTCATTTATTTTTCTCGTCTTATTCCTTCACTTTCCTCTTATCTCTTCCTTCTCTCTTTTCCTTCTCGCGCATCTCTCTCCGTCTTCGAAGAGGACGACTTCGTGCACTGTGCTCCGTCTTTGTTAGCTCTTATCAGGTTAGCTTTCTATCTCTTTGGAATTTCGGAATTGATTTTGGAGTTATGGTTAATCGAGTTTTTGGGGTTATGATTTTGGGGTTCATCGATTTGGAGATTTAGGGTTCATCGAATTGGGGTTTTAGGTGTTCGTCGAATTGGGGATTTAGGGTTCATCGAATTGGGGTTTTAGGTGTTCGTCGAATTGGGGATTTAGGGTTCATCGAATTGGGGTTTTAGGTGTTCGTCGAATTGGGGATTTAGGGTTCATCTGAGTTATTTTCCTTCACATACACAATCTCTCTTCTTCATCAGGAACATGGAAAAGTGGAAGAACATGTCAATCTTTGGCGAGTTCGATACTTGCTCCAACAGGAGCTACTATGGAGAGACATCTTCGGATGATGATATGCCTTACTTTGGAGATATCTTCCGAGAGTACAAGAACACCCCATCAACTGACAAAGGAATTCTGACTCGTTGTTTCTGTGGAGACAAAGTCGTTGTTATGCATCACACGTTTGGTGTCTACAACGGCCAGAAATTCTACAGTTGTGTGGAAGACAACAACGTAAGCAACCCAAGAACTCTTTCTCATTGGAATTGTATTTTTCGTGACCTTTTTGTGATTGGTCTTGTATTTTTTGTGATTTATTTTTTTTGTGATTGGTTTTGGTTAGGACGACCAAAACCACATTTAGAAACTGTGCGACGAAGCAATCATCGAGGAGATTGACGCTGTGAAGACCAAGCTGGGTGATCAAGAAGCTAAAGTCGAGACAGCTGCTAAGGAAATCACTGAACTCAAGAAAATGGTGTCTGACCAGAACACGATTGATGGTCTTATGAAGAAGCCGTGATTATTATCATGTTTTGGTTTCTAATGTCATGTTTATCTGCTACTTGCTTGAACTACTTTATTCCTGCAATTTGGTTTGTAATTTCGTACTTGTTTGAACAACTTGTTTGTTTTGTCTGAACTTAATAGCTTGTAATGTTGTAGTTTTAACAACAAACTCTCTTGTAATGTTATTGTTTGAAGTAGTAGTTTATCATACAAAAATGAAAACCAAGTAATAGTATTAGCTTAAAACATCCATAACGAACAAAGTTCT